CGTCTTTACACACACACACGCGATATTCGTCTTGACACACACACACGAGATTCGTCTTGACACACACACGAGATTCGTCTTTACACACACACACACGAGATTCGTCTTTACACACACACGCGCGTGCACGCACGCACGCACACACGCACACACGCACACACGAGATTCGTCTTTACTTTCTTCCCCTATCCTCTATCAAAGATTGAGCTACTCATCTAGGACAAATTAATCACAGGTATAGTTTGTAAAATCTTTAATGAAACACATTTGTTTAGATGTAACTCTCTACTGAAAATCTCATTCATCCAGGAAATTCCCATAGAATAGCTTCCATTATCTTGTTGTTCACTATTATCTACCTATGTAATTTTAGATTCTAATAGATGACAGACATTCTTTTTGGGGGGCGAAGGGTGGTGGAGAAATTCTGTATACTTGTTAGGAGGAGGATTTCTGCATAGAAAATTTGACACCTGTTGCTGTTTTTCTAAGTAATCCCATATAGTTAGTTGGTCTTGAATATGGATAAAAGAGGATGAGGTAGAGGGCATTCTTACCTTGAAGTATGTCTTGGGGAGGGTGTTTTCCAATATTAAACAACTTCTAAAAACTGTTATTAGTGAATAGACTTCAAGATGATCATAATTTTCCAGAGATAATATGTTCTTTAAAAGCAGTTTTATTGGTATTTAGAATTTCTCTGGAAACCAGTAGACTTGACTATAAATATTTCTCTTGTACTCTGCATTGAGCACAGAAGTTTATCATTTGGACTTAATTACCTTTGTTTTTCTCTTCAGAGTATGATATTAAAATATTAAGTGACTAAATAAAGGAGAAAATAGATCAGAATGGTTCATTATGAGAAAAAGGAAATTGAAAATAATTAGAAGTGTTATTTCATCATAGTTTCCTATGCCAAGAGTAAGAGCAGTTACTTTCTCCAGTGTTTATAATAGTAATACTAAAGAAACTACCCCTAGGTAAAGTTTATCTCACTTTTAGATAATGCTTAACACTTCATCTATTGGAATGCTCTTTGTAGGATGTTTTATTGCACAGCTGTTATAATTTTTTTCCATCCCATTCCACAACAGAGTTCTGGATTTTCCACAAATGTCCAAGACCAGAAGATTGCAAATATGTTTGAATTATCCGTACCTTTCCGCCAACAGCATTATTTGGCAGGGCTTGTTTTAACTGAGCTTGCTGTCATTTTAGACCCTGATAACGAAGGGTGAGTAGACCAGTTTTTGCCTTGGAGACCATCAATTTAATTTTAAACAATGAGACAAAAGTATTCCATTTATACCTCCTGAGAATCAAAAGAATACTCTCCCACTTTTTTCCTACTTCCAAATTCATTGAATTCTGTACCCATGTTATTTCTCTATTCATTGATTTTAGGAAAGACTTTTTTTTTTTTTTAATTTTATCATCTGTACCTTAGAGGTGTGTCTTTAAATCAGTGGCATATCATGGTTTATTTGGCAGCATTTTCTTTCCTTCTTAATAGTACGTAAAATAATGGTGCATGTTAGTAGCTAAGACTCTTAAATTTGTTTATATGCAGTAGGTGTTTTCATTTGAGGAAACAGACTAGTGTGTTTGATTTCTTATGAGGAAAATTTATCACTCACCATTAGAATATGTTGTATTTCATTTCAAAATTTGTCCTATTAACAAATATCCTTAGGTTTTAAGAACTTCCACAGGTGTGTATACTTCTGGAGAATTTTTGGAAATTGATAACAGTAAGGAAAGGGTATATTGTTGGAAGACTGGAATTCATAGAAATAGCTTGATATGTTGGGGTTTAGCATTCCTATGGGTTATGCTATTGTTTTTTTAATTTTAATTGTGGTAAAATTGTACATAATAAAACACTTGCCAATTCAATTATTTCACATGTATAATTCAGTGACGTTGATTACATTCTTTGTGTTGTGCAGCTGTTATCACTATCCTTCTCTGAATTATTCCACCACCATTAACAGAAACTCAGTGCTCCCTAAGCAATAACTGTCCTTTTCCCCTTCCTTCCACCCCTGGTAACCACTAATGAGTTTTGATTTCTATATATTTGACTTTTTTTTATATAAGTGTGATCATATTGTATTTGTCATTTTATGTCTGACTTATTCACTCATCATAATATTTTCAAGGTTCATCCATATTGTGGCATGTATCAGGACTTCGTTTCTCTTTATGGCTGAGTAATATTTCATCGCATGTATATACCACATTTTGTTTATCTGTTCATCTGTTGATGGACAGTTAGGTTGTTTTCACCTTTTGGCTATTGTGAATAGTGCTGCAGTGAATATTGGTGTACAGGGGTATGTCTGTCTTAATATTTGTTTTCACTAATCTGTATAACTCACTTGAGTAATAATTGCTTTTTTTCAGTTTTTCTCATTATAGGACCATTATTAGTTTATAGTATAGTTTAACTTCTTGTAAGTTCTCCATTCAAACAAAAAAGGAGATATCACAGTGCAGGTTTTGCAAGAGTGTTCTGATGTATTCATTGTATGCACGAAAGAGGAGATTTGTTAAGTTCTTAAGAAGATGTCTGGGACATAGTCAATGCTCAATAAATTGTGAAGGGCCAAATCTTCTGCAAATAAAAGACATGTTTTTTCATAATGACATGTTACCAAATTAGGAATATATTTTAAAGAAGTAGTTTTCATACTGCAGATCTATAGAGTTCTGAATAGGTGCTTAATGGGTTTCCAGATAGGGTAGAAGGGTGTAGAGGTTGGGGCATGAGGAGGGCAAACTAAGTGGGTAAACTCTGGACCTCCCACCACTGCTTCTCACCATTTTTATAATTTGTCATACTGAATTAGAATGCTTTGCATAATCCAAGTACCTTCAGTCTAAGAAGAGAGGCAAAAGAAAAAAAAAAGTGTGATGGAAAGAGTGACCCTTGCTAGTGTATTAGCCTAGTTGAAACTGAGGGCACTTGGGAGTTTAGAAAGGTTGTAGGACTCTTCTAATGAGGTATATGAACAGAGAAGTTCAGAGATTCAAAGGCACCCTTAGCCTGTGGACTACATAATCCACCAGGTAGAGGAATGTTCTTTGAGAAAAAGGTAATAAAAATTATTTTTGGTATATATGAAAAGATTTGATTTAATGAAATAAAATTTACAACTACTTAAATTTTACTTTTTTGCCTTAATTTATAACTGTAAGTGGTCATAAATTCTTGAGTATTCAAATGTACTAGTAAGGAGTTAATGTAAAAATATGCAGATTTAAGTGAATTTGTATAGCATTTCCTTTTTTCTCAATTCTTATTTTTATACAGAGAGATGTTCATTAATTTTAAAATGAGAAATGTTTTATATGAATATATGCAAATATGTGGCAAAGTTAAGAAGTTGAACAAAATTGATTCAGTATCATGACTTATTATTTGCTTTTAAGATACTAACTAATCTTTCTGACCTCACTGCTTCTTCTTCTTTTAAAATAGTTTATTTGGATTGCATAAAAAAGTCATCAATATGGTACACAATTTACTATCCAGTCATGACTCAGACCCACGGTATTCTGACCCCCAGATAAAGGCCCGAGTGGCCATGTTGTATCTACCTCTGATTGGCATTATCATGGAAACTGTACCTCAGCTGTATGATTTTACAGGTATTTACTACATTCAAGACAAATTTTCAAAACAAAGCCCAATGTTTATTTAAAGGAGTTAGGAAATATCTCAAGGAAAAGATCTTATTTTAGGAAAAGCAAGTAAAATATGTATACTGACAAAAGCAAACTGGAAATACGTAATCACATTACTGAAAAACTTAGGCTATATGAGAGAATTCACTATAAGTTTCCTGTAAGTAATTCTTTTGATGAATTTAAAAATAATCATTTTATAGCAATGTGTGTGGTTTTGTTTTCATGTATATATGTATACATATATATATATACTTACCTTTTAGGAAATAAGTTTGATTCTGTGTGTATTGTACATCTGAAAAATTTTAAAAAAAACTTGAGAGATGTCTACCAACCTCAGTTTCAGTTTTATTATATATGTAAATAAATGTCTACCTGAATACCAGGAATTGTGTTTTTTGCTAACACTGGATTAATAACTTGAGGTTATGTTCGTTTTTGAAAACTAGTATCCACGAGGTTTTATGTCTTTTGCTTTGCATATTTAAATTTATTTAAATTCTTACATTAAAGTAAAACACTGTAGGTTGCATTTAAACTAGTATTTAACCTGATAAATTACTTCAAGTTTAATAAAAACAAAAGTAAACATTTTCTAAGTACCTAATATGTGCTAAGAACTCTTGACATGTGCTGGTGATACAAAGATAACCAACTCTTTGCCTTCGAGGGATTGCTAGTTGAGTAGCTTTTCCAGTATTTTGATCATTAAAATGAGTTTCCTTATCTGAGGACAGAAATGTTTATATTATTACATCATTTTTTACTAGCCAGAGTTCTCTACAAAACTATAAATTACCATTATAGGAATGAGTTAATATTTAAAATACTAAAAATATTCTTTAAAAGAAGTCAACCTAATGATTAATGTTACAAATTAACTATTTTTTTCTTTTAAAGAATAATGAAGAATAGGAAAGGGAATTGCATGCTCAGTAATAGTTGAGCTAACCTGAAGTTTTGTACTTACTTTTTTTGAATTATTTTTCTCCAGAGACTCACAATCAACGAGGAAGACCAATATGTGTAGCCACTGATGATTATGAAAGTGAGAGCGGAAGCATGATAAGCCAGACAGTTGCCATGGCAATTGCAGGAACATCAGTCCCTCAACTTACAAGGCCTGGCAGTTTCCTCCTCGCATCAACGGTAAAACAATCCTCTTACAGGAATTTTTTATGGAAAGACAAATATTTACAAGGATGTGCCCTTAAATAACAAAGGTTACTGTGTTAGCTGATGCAAAAATACTCTGAGTTTTATTTATTTTACTGAAACATTAAGGTTCTGAGAATGGTACCTGTAATACAGTGTAATCAATTGTTTAAATTCATGAGGTATAAAAACCAGGATCAGCACAAAGCTGGTTCCTGTTAGGTGGAGGTCAGGTATGTCTCCACCTTCCCACTTCTCCATTATTTCTGAAACCAGCCCCTCCTCCCATGGCACTCTCTACTTCTCTGCAGGGTTTGATAATTCACTGCAGCAGCCATGCAGAACTCACAAACCATGCTCATGTTTATGTTGTTTATTAGAGAAGTAACAGGTTACAACTCAGGATCAGGATTATTTGGAAATAACAGAAACAACTTAGAATCAGGAAGCACACAGGCAAGGTCTGGAAAGGTCCCCAGCGTGAAGAGCACATCCCTCTCTTCTTCAGTGCAGGACAGCTTCTGACTAGGACAGCTCTCTCAGATGCTCTCTACCATCAGCCTCCCTGCTGGCAGCCTCTCTGACAGGCCTACGTCATAGCCAGTGTAGCAGCTCACTGAGGTCCTTCAGCTGCTGCTCTCCTAGCAACAGATCTCCGCTCTGCTCTGCTGTCAGACTATCCACTATCGGCCTCTCTGCCTTTGGCCTCTCCACTGCCAACTGGCCCAGCCAATAGCTACTGTAGCAGCTTGCTCAGCTCTCTTAGCTGCGCTCTATCATCACGCCTCTCTGCTGTCACGCTGCTCAGCCACTGGCTCACTGCTGTCAGCTGTCTGCTGTTGACCTCTCCATAGCTAACTGATGCAGCTCACAGCCATTATAGCAGCTTTCTCAGCTCTGTTAGCTTTTCTCTGCCGTCAGGCCTCTCTGATGCTGGCTCTCCATCGTTGGCCTCTCCACCACTAACTGGCCCAGCTCACAGCGGGTGTAGCAGGTTGCTCAGCTCTCTTAGCTGCTCTCTGCCATCAGGCCATTCTGCTGTCAGGCCTGTCATCGGCCTGTCCACTGCTGACTGGCCCAGTTCGTAGCCAGTATAGCAACTTCAGGACCGCTCGGCTCCCATGTGGCTGTGCTTTTCGGCCCACCCAGCTCTTAGCCAGCAGCTCTGTCACAACCAGGAGGCCTCTCTGAAACCTCTGTGTTTGAGTGGTTCATGTATCCTGATCCTCATCATTTACAAGGTGGGGCCTCCCTCACCAGACCAGAGTTTAAAGAATCTTCAATTATCATGAGATATCCATCAACTGAGGTCTTGTTAATTACCAGGCAAAAGTATCAAACCATCAAGTTGTATACAGCTTACTCAAGAAATGTCAGTCAACCTGAGGAATCCCCTGGGCAAAAGTAACAAACATGGAAGCTTCAACTCCTCCCTCCCTTCCAAAGTTGGTTCTCCAAAGAACTAGGGCAAAGATAATAACTCCACAGGGCTTCAGGGTTAAATCTCACAAGCTGCCTTTCCAAAGAACCAAGGCAAATGGCCATATAAAGAAACTCATTGCACTGTAGTACGTATCTTGTACAAAGTTGTTTTAAAAACTACTACCTCAAGGTTTATGGTATGAAGCCCTGTATTCTGTCATTCAAAACTTTAAAAATGGAATTATATCTAGCCCATTCTTTATTTTTTAAATCCATGTTGTTCTTTATCAGTCAGAAGAATATTGTCAATTGTTTAGCAATTGACAATTTTTTTTTCAATCTGTGAAGATTTATACTTTTTCATGTTTTAAAAAAATATCAATTTTACTCTGCTCCTGTACTTCTCCTCCTTTAAAGAGGGAATGGTGTGCAGGCAGGGAGGAAGCAAACTGCCTAAAGCAAGATGAAGTTCTAAAGTTTAAATTATTTTCTTTCAGAAAACTGCAATATTCATAGAAGCTCTCCACTTGACAGCTTAACAAAAAGCTTTAAGATATAATTTACATACCATAAAACCAACCCATTTTAAGTATACAATTTAGTGGTTTTTAACATATTTACAGTTTTACAGCCATCACCACAGTCTAATTGTAAAATATTTTCATCACCCCAAAAAGAACTCTTACGCTCATTTGTAGTCACTCTTCATTTTCCTCTACCCTTAGACCTCGGCAACAACTCACCTATTACCTATCTATAGATTTGCCTATTCTAGACATTATATATTAATGGAATTATACAATATGTGATCTTTTTTGCCTGGTTTCTTTCACTTAGCATAATGTTTTTGAGGTTTACCCATGTTGTAACATGTATCAGAGCTTTATTCCTTGTTTCTTTTTATTACTGAATAATATTCCATTGTAAGGATATGCCACATTTTATCGATTCTTCAGTTGATAGACATTTGGGTCACTTCCACTTTTTGTCTGTTATGAAATAATGCTGCTGTGAGCAGTTGTGTACAGATCTTTGTGTGGCATATGTTTTTTTTCTCCTGGGTATATATGGATCTGCTAGGTTATATGGTAGCTCTATGTTTAAACATTTTGAGAAACTGCTAAATATACTGTTTTCCAAAGTGGCTGCACCATTTTACATTCCCACTAGCAGTGAGTAAGTGTTTCTGTTTCTCCACAGTCTCACCAACTTGTTATTATCTGTCTTTTTGATTATAGCCATCTTAGTGGATGCGAAGGAATCACTGGGTGGTGCAGACAGTTAAGGGCTTGACTACTAGGCAAAACATTGGTGGTTTGAACCTACCCAGAGGCACTTCAGAAGATAGGCCTAGCATTATGTTTCTGAAAGGTCACAGCCTTGAAAACCCTACAGAGCAGTTCTATTTTGCACACATGGGATCACCATGAGTCAGAATTGACTTGATGGCAAATATAACAGTAACAGTAATGGTGTAAAATGCTAAGTCATTGTGATTGTGATTTTGATTTGCATTTTCTTTATTACTGATGATGTTGAGCATATTTTCATGTCCTCTTTGCCCTATTCAAATCTTTTGCATTTTTAAATTGGCCTATTTGTCTTGTTTATGAAGTTGAAAGAGTTCTTTATATATTCTGGATATAAATTCCTTATGAGATGATGTGATTTGCAAACATTTTCTCCAATTCTATGGGTTATCTTTTCACTTTTTTTTTTATTGTGATAATAACGTATATAATAAAACATTTGCTAAAATTTCAGCCTTTTTTGCATGTACAATTCAGTGATTTTAGTTAGTGTTTATCATGTTGTGCAACCATCACCACTATCCATTTCCAAATTCTTTATTACTCTTAACAGAGACTCAGTGCCCCTTAAGCAATAATTGACCCTTCCTCACTCCTACTCCCATTCACTTCTGCTAACCATTGATAAACTTTGGTCTCTATGCTTACTCTAGATATTTCATATAAATGGGATCATAAAATATTTGTCTGTTTGTGTTTAACTTATTTCCCCCAGCATAATGAACCTTGACAACATGTTATAGCATATATCAGAACTTCATTTCTCTTTATGGTTGGATAATATTCCATTGTATGGATATACCACAAATTGTTTCTTCTTTCATCTGTCAATGGACACTGGGGTTGTTTCCACCTTTTGTCTATTGTGAATAGTGCTGCAGTGAACATTAGTGTACAAGTTTCTGTTTGCATCCCTGCTTTTAAATCTTTTGAGTTCACTTTCTTGGTGGTGTTGTTTGAAGTGCAAACGTTTTTAATTTTGATGAAGCCCAATTTATCTAATTTTTCTTCTGTTCTGTGCTTTGTTGTCATACCTAAGAATCCATTGCTAAATCCAAGGTCATGAAGATACAGTCTTTTTTTTTTAAAGCTTTATAGTTTCAACTGCTACATTTGGGCCCATGATTCGTTTTGAGTTAATTTTTGTATATGATGTGAGGTAGGAGTCCAGCTTAATTCTTCTGCATGTGTATACCTAGTTGTCCCAGCACCATTTCATAAGACAGCTATTCTTTCCCCAAAGAATTGCCTTGAAAACCTTGTCAAAAATCAGTTAACCACAAACTTAAGGATTTATTTCTGGACTCTCAATTCTATTCCATTGGTCTAGATGGCTATCCTTATGCTAAGTACCCTCAACTAAAACTTCTCTAGTATAGAAATAGAAATCCACCAGGCACTCCTTGGAAATCCTATGGAGCAGTTCTACTCTGTCCTTTAGGGTCACTATGAGTCAGAATCAACTCAACGGCAACCGGTTTACTGCCCTACTATTACCTGTTGCCATCAAGTCAATTCCAACTCATAGCAACCCTATCTATACTTAGATGGTATAACTATAAAAAAAAGAAAGTGATTACCTCATTAGTCATGATAGTGGGTAGCAGGGGCAGGAGCGGGTAGGTAGTTGTGGTTGGGTAAGAGCACGCTAAGGATTTCTGGAGTAAAGCCAATGTTCTATTTTTTGTCCTGAATAGTGGTTTCCAAGGTATTCACTTTATAATATTTTGTAAACTTGTGCATTGATGTTCCACGTACTTTTTCAAGTACAGTATATTTCACGTAAGAAGAGTTTTAAAAAAAATAAAAAGCAAGGTCAACCAATCTGGTAATTTATAGTTGTTTCTCCTTTTAGCTTTCATTTTCCTGATGGCTTATGATGGTGAGCACTTTTTATAAATGTGTGTTGGTCATTAAGACTGTCTGTTTTGAAATGTCTTGAGTTTTTTTTGCCTATTTTCCACAGAGTTACTTTATTTTTTCTTTTTTTAATAATTTGTAGGCTTTCCTTATATATTCTGGATCAAGTCCATTGTCAGTTACAGGTGGTTCAAATATCTCCTCCTTCTCTGGCTTGCTTTTTAACACACCTAATGGTAAATTTGGAAACCCTTCTGGCTTTGTGGTTAAGAGTTCGGCTGCTAACCCAAAGGTCTGTAGTTGGAATCCACCAGGCGCTCTTTGGAAACCCTATGGGGCAGTTCTACACTGTCCTCTAGGGTCGGTATGAGTCGAAATCAACTCGCTGGCAACGAGTTTGGT